GTTAAGACTGGGCTGGTTTAACCCCCCAAAACAGCTGACCTGACAAGGATTAGCTCTTGAATCCCAGACTGATGCCTGGGAATCCAGTATGGGACTGATCAAGACCCCCTGAATGTGGGTGTCAGTGAGGAGGCCTAGGTAATCTATTGAGCTTTGGGCAGTAGATAAGTATTTATCCCGGGTATACAAATGGACTTTGGGCTCAACAATGAGAGATACACTCTCACCCTGGACTCTTGAGGGAGGGTCTAGGCCCTGCCCTGGATGAAATGACAGACTATGGACACCCCCATGGAGGGCCTCACCCACCATGGGGAATGAGGAGATATTGGGGGGAGGCTGGTGGGAGGGTGTGGGAGGAGGGGAGGGGAAGGAAGAGGGACCTGGAATTGACATGTGAAGCAACCTTGTTTCTAATTTAAATTTAAATTTAAAAATAAAATATAAGAAAACAATCTTTTTTATTTTGCATACCAATCCCAGTTTATTCCGTCTCCCTCCCCTCCTCCTGCTCCCTGCAACCCTCCCACTCCACCCCCAATCTGCTTCTCAGAGAGGGTGAGGCTTCCCATGGGGAGTCAACAAGGTTTGTCACATCAGGCTGAGGCAGGACCAAAGCCCTCTGCCATGTATCTGTGGTGAGCAAGATATCCCTCCACATGGAATGAGCTCCAAAAAGCTAGTTCATGTAGTAGAGATAAATCCTGGTCCTACTGCTAGTGGCCCCACAAACCGGTAACTAGGTATTTTTCTAACAGAAAAAATAAGTTTTCAAATCTTGGAAGAAATAAACAAGAATGAAATATTCTTTGGAAAAGGAAATATTTTCATTTGATTGCCCATGATTGGAAAAGCTTAGTGGAAGATGTGTCACTCTGTCATTAAGAAAAAAAAATATTAGAAATGCAGTAGTAGCTACAGATGATGCAGCCTTATAAGTTTACCCTTGCTGAAGTGTGACCAACCACTTAGCCAATAGGTGAGAGGCATGAATTGGCTGTTTTCAGGAATTATGGTGGCACAGTGGGTGTTACTCAAACCTGATCAAATATCAGTTTGGAGCTGATGCTTGGGAGAGAGTATTTTGTGTTTCTGTATGATTCTCCATGTGACTCTAATGTGAGGTGGGGTCCTACTATAGGCAGGGCTCTGTAGAGGGGACCACAGACTTAACAATCTTCCAAACCCTTGTTTCCAAACCCTTGTTTCCTTTTAGCCATCTCTTCCCAATGGAAATTGATAAATGTCAAGTCAGAACAAATTTGTGTGTTCCTTGGGGTTATCACCCTTGAATTAAATGGCATAAATCTAAGTCTCCAAAATGGCAAACCTTGCTTCTGAAGAATTTCGTCTTGACATAATAAATAAAAAACTAATTCTTGTGGAGAGTGTTTAAGACCATTAAGGTCATATGGAAGAACCATCTGTGCGATGACCTAAGCATCCAGAGAACACAGTGAGTTGGTACTACAATGTCAAAGACTTTAAACTCTACAAAGGGCAACAGCAGAAAGCTTGTAGCTAGTTAAATTTTACATTAACCTAAACAGGCTTTGGGGAGAATTTTGTGAAAGATGAAGATGGATGTTGTAGTGTGATTAACATTTACCATAAGCCAACTTGAATAAGATGGACATAATCCAATGTCTTGCAGAACTTAAGAGAAGAAACAGAAGTTCCCAGGCATGGAAGGATTCTACCTCATCTGTAAAATGGAAATCCTTCCCCTGTGTCTATACTGTCAGCCTGCCCTATGGATCACAGAATTACCATCTTCACAATGGGATAAGTCAATACCTTAAAACCAATCTATCCTCTGTCATTTCCTAGGAGAATGACAACATATGTCATTCTAAACATCACAATAGAGTTTTGTTTCCTTTCTACACAGTGAGGACTCAGATGAATTTGATGACTAAAGTTATAAATCATTGAGAGCTTACATAAAACAATCATCTCTTGGGATCATCTACAGTTGATAATGGATGAAACGAAAAATCTTCCCTTAATGTTGGGCAGCACTTAGGGAGTATCTTATCAAAACACAGCAGCTTCATAGGAGGTGAAACAGCAATGGCATGATTAATGGCATGATTACAGACATGAGATCGAAGCCTAAAACTCCCGTTAAGGTGATGGAGCATTTGACTCAGTGATTTTTTTTTTTTGGTTTTGGTTTTTTTGAGAAGGATTTCTCTGCTGGTGTGGAGACTGTCCTGGAACTCTCTTTGAAGACCAGGTTGGCCTCGAACTCACAGAGATCCTCCTGCCTCTGCCTTCTGAGTACTGGGATTAAAGGTATGCGTCACTACCTCCTGGCTTTACAGTTAGGGATACTCACCAATATACTAATGAGGAGTGGGATGACTTAGTGATTCTTAATATAAAAAAAAGCGCAGTCAAGTTGAGCTCAATAAAACTAAAGAAAACAGCATTTCAGTCAGCCATAACAAATTTATTGGCTCCTTAGTAACCAAAGTTCTATCTGATCAAGCATTACAATAGCCCAGTAAACTGGAACAGTTTGCGGCAGTTCATCCAGAAATGATTTGTGAATGCAAATTTCTCTTCTGAAAACAGGGCACGGTTTCTTGAAAATCTGACAGCAGTAATTCTGGGCAGTACTCAAACAAAGGGGCCGGTAGATGAATACATTTGGGAAATTGTGACTTACATACAGTAAATTATGGCTCTCCGAAGCAGAGGTAAATTTCCAAAGCAGATATGATTCAAGAATCTGTCTGTCAAATATGCCCACTGACCTTCCATGAACTGTTAATTGGAGGTGTGTCTGTCCTACTTTTTCTTCCTATGACCTCGAGGGAGCGCTAGTTCTTTCTTTTTTGTTTTTCAAGACAGGGTTTCTCTGTATAGTCCTGGCTGTCCTGGGACTCTTTCTGTAAACCAGGCTGGCCTCAAGCTCACAGATCTGCCTGCCTCTGCCTCCGTAGTGCTGGAATTAAAGGTGTGTGCCATCACTGCCCTGTTGAGCACTAGTTCTTTTTTATTTTGTTTTTTATTCGACAGCTAGTATTTTATTCTGATAAGCAGTCTCATTACATGTGGTCCAAGAACATTCAAATAAAAATTCAAATAAAATCAGATGTTAAAGATCAGTCTTCAGACATCATAGCAACGATGGCACATGTGATCTCTTCCATATAAAACCACATCCACACCTCAGTGACCACCACACCATTCATTATAGCTTCATTAACTGTATGCTGTCAGCAGCTACCAGTTTTAGCACTTTGAATTGTTTTTTTTCACCCTCTGAATAGCTGCAGAGAGTTCAGCAGCAGTTGGGGGAACCAGTTCAATCTTGGCATAGTGCCAAAATGTGGCTAATGGAGGTTTAAAGTAAGTCATGGCAATGGTTACTAGTAGGGCCTTCTTCGAGAAGTTAAGGACTAAGGTGGCCATGGTTTGGTGAACACTAGTTCTTTTTTTTTTTAATGTCTTTTTTTTCTTTTTAAGTTTAAATTAGAAACAAGGTTGCTTTACATGTCAATCCCAGGTCCTTCTCCCTCTCCCCCCATGCCCTCCCACCAACCCTCCCATCCCCTCCCCCAGTCCCCACTCCTTTCCTCAGGGAGGGTGAGGCCCACCATGGGGGCTGTCCATAGTCTGTCATTTCATCCAGGGCAGGGCCTAGGCCCCCCCCCCAAGAGTCCAGGCTGAGAAAGTGTCTCTCATTGTGGGATGACACCCAAAATCCATTTGTATGCTAGGGATAAATACTGATCTACTACTACCCAAGGTCCCATAGATTGCCTAGACCCCCTCACTGATACCCACATTCAGAGGGTCTGGATCAGTCCAATGCTGGATTCCCAGCCATCAGTCTGGGGTTCAAGAGCTCCCCCTTGTTCAGGTCAGCTGTTTCTGTGGGTTAAGCAAGCCCAGTCTTGACCCCTATACTCATCAGTAGTTCTTAATGGAGCCTGTCTTCTCAAATTTTATCAATGATCTACTACTTGGAGTTATTTGAAACTTTAGTAAGGCTTTGTTTTTGTGAGAGGTAATTTTTCAGAAATCTGAAACGTTGCTCATCCATGGTTGCTTGCTTTTTGACATTGTGGCATCTCAGGAACTCCATTTGAAGTTAGTTTTTTTTTTTTAGAACCTTTGCATTCCACACACTTTCTGCCACAAAGGCCCCAGGGAACAAAAGGGTCATTTCCTTGTAGAGGTGCAGGCACTTTGCTTGGTTTGATTAACAACAGTCTCCTACTGGACTTAGAATCTTGGAGAATGGCTGAGGTGATTGTGCTTAACTTAAATCTGATTATATGTGCCACAGAACTCTTCATATTTACTGTATTAACTACGTCAGCCAAGGTGAATTCAGATTCCCTAGTGCGATTAGCTAGAGAAAATTTTCCTTGGCTTTTATTAGCTTCACAGATACATTAATTCCAAAAATATCTGTCTTCCAGGAAGAATATGGAATCAGGGCACCTTCATTGTTTCTGAGCAAAGAATGCACAATAGAAATTCATGAGTACTGTAAGTACATGGTAAATTGAACTAAGCTGAAAATGCGTGATATTTTAGAACTTACCTTGCTAACTTGCTCTCAGGGGTCATTAGCAAAAGTAAAAGCCCAAACTAAAATTAAAACAAACAAAACCCCCAAACTTCCCCTCTCCATTTCTGCTGAGGAGAATTTTCAGTTGTAAGGCAGAGAGATCCTACAGAATTAGCTGCTGCAGCTCAACTAGACTTAAGAGGGTGGTCCCAGGAGAGGTTTCGTCTTTCTTTTAAGAAGTACAATATCCCAGGCTGTTTGTTAGCAAGCAGGCTAACTTTTCTTTAATGGTATCTACAAAATCTGAAAAGTAGTCAGGAAATGGACTTGAACCTGCTGGGGACTGTCAAGTTGAAGCTAATGTTGGAAGTGTTTTAGAGAAATAAGAGAGATCTGGCCTCTGAGGCTGGCTAGATAAGCAATCATTCTGATGATCAACATCACTCTCCATTGTACTTGGGCTTTGCACTATATTTCAATTTACTTTATTTTTTTAATAATTCATCACAAACTTTGTAGCTGGGAAAAATGTAATTATCTTGGTGGTCTTCCTGGAAGCTTAGTGGCTTGGCTCAGATTTCGCTACCAGTGGCTCTTTTCCAGGGTAGTCCAGCTCTGGGTCTGTGAGAAAACAGGAATAAATGGTGCATTTGAGAAACATCAGATGCATACAAGGCCATATTCTTTTTATGTTTATGGTAAACATAAAACTGTCTAGCATGACTCATTTATCCTTTATAGCCCATTTTGGGGGTGAGGGGCACTCAGAATTTACAAATAAGAAGTTCCCAATACCCAAAGCAAAATGTGATCCTAATTGCTATGCTGAAAAGCATAGTACATGATCCAGTGAGGCCTGTGTGACTTTCTGCTCTATGGGAGTAATCGCTGTCAGAGCAAAAGAGAAACTGGATGAAAGAGACCTGGTTATGTTTTGGGTGTTGGCTATCCCACAGAGGTCGTGTGGTCCTATGTTGACTAGTTTTATGTCAACTTGACACAAGCTAAAGTCATCTGAGAGGAGAGACCCTCAATTGAGAAAACGCTTCCCTAAGATCAGGGTGTAGGGAAGCCTGTGGGGGCATTTTCTTAATTAGTGATTGATGGGGGAGGTCCCAGCCCATTGTGGGCGAGGCCATTCCTGGACTGATAGTCCGGGGTGCCATAAGAAAGCAGGCTGAGCAAGTCATGGGGTACGAGCCTGCAAGGACACACTTCCATGGCCTGTGCATCAGCTCCTGCCTTCAGACTCTTTGCCTGTTTGAGCTCCTGCCCTGACTTCTTGTGATGATGAACAGTGATGTGGAAATGTAAGCATAATAAACCCTTTCCTCCCCAACTTATTTTGGTCATGACATTTCATTGCAGCAATAGAAACTTAACCAGACATGTTCCCAACGGAAGAAGAGATTGGACCTTGGAGAGATGGAGTGCAGTAGGATGTCCTTCGGATCTTAAGGATAGGTGTGCCCTTAAAGAGCTTAAAAAGGTGTATGGAACACCAGGTCCTTCCTCTTACTTTTTCTCCCTTTGACTCCTGACCACGAGGTCAGCAATTTGCTGTGACACATGTTCCCTACCACTGCCACCTGACACCGGCACAGAGAACTAAAGCAGGGGGACTCTATGACACTTATGAGACCGAACACCTCTAACAATGAGACAAAATCAACCTATTTTTTAAAAAATAAGTTGACTGCTTTGGGGATTTTGTTACAATTATGGAAAACTGAATACTAATGCCCCTGGTCATGGAATTGAGATAGCAGTTTGGTGTTTTCAATTTAGTAAGACACTGTTGAGTATGAGATGGGTCTTTTTCTGTGTTTTGTTTATTTTTGTTGTTGTTGTTGATACTGTTGAGTTGTTGGTTTTAGTTTGTTTTCCTTTTGTTTTTTATATTTACAAAAATCTTGTTTGTATTATAGCAAAATTCATTTGCCCTTGTTCTTTTTCTTTTCTAAGATATCCAGGAAGAAAATCTTCATCTGCTACTTTGTTCACTGAGTTTATGCCTTGAGAGAGGATGCGACAGGAGATGGGCACACACTCTTAAGTGTCACTTCTTAGGTCTCTGTTACATGGTGAGCAATCTGTGCAAGGTGTGATTCTGGTGTCTAAAATATTTTTTTACCTACAAGCTAAAGAAACGGCTTTATCTTGGCAGTCCAGGGAACACTAATTTAATTTCAGGAAAAAAATCCTTGTTTTGTTTTGTAAGATTGAAAAGCTTACTCCCTTCCCAGCAGAGCATCAGTTTGGGACCTTGAAGGCTTGCTAAGAAAATAAATGTCAAGATGACAACTCCAGTTATGATAACACTTGTGTCTGGACTGTAGAAGAGATAGATCAGCAGTGTAACTAGGGATGAGCATAAGTAGAGACAAGATAATTCAGCTTCTATTCAACTCTCTTGCTTTAACAGTGCTAGGGTGTCTACATTGTAGAAAAAATGAGTATCTTTTAATTTAAGATATGATGAAAAGTCTGGCCTGTTTAGGGGGAAATACTCAGCATTTCTTCTGGTATAATTGACTGTAAAACTTGGGTACAGAGTAGCCATAGCAGGACTCAGTCATCTCAGGGTTTGTTTGTGTTTTAACAAATAAAGCTTGCCTGAAGTTCAGAGTGCAGAGGTAAACCACTAGAGGCCAGGCAGTGCTGGCACACATATTTAATCCCAGGACTCAGAAGATAGAGGCAGAGGGATATCTGTTAGTTCAAGGCCACCCTGGGTCACACAAGATTTAATCTGTCTAAGAGAGAAACAGAGCTCACACAAAGGTGATCTCAGCACTTGAGATCCCATGCCTTTAAACCCAGCACTAGAAAGGAATATAACTCAGGGGAAGACAGGAACTCAGTGCAGTTTGAGGACAGGACAGGGTTGACCGTTTGGTCTGAGCATTGATAGAGGTGAGAACTCTCTATTGGATGACTGCTTTGCTTTTCTGATCTTTAGCTTTAATCCCAAAATCTGTCTCTGTTAACACCAACTAGAATTCATGCTACAATAGAATGACTCCAGAGTTGCTCCATAGTACCACAGAATTTTTCCTAGAGCCCCAAAATCATGGAGAACTGGTTGTTGTTTGAAATTTAATAGAAAAGCTTAGGATGTAGTGTCACATTCTGGATATGACACCTCAATACTGTAACCCTGTGAAGAAAGTGTAATTCTTTTTCAGAGCCACAAAACCATCTTGATACGATTCACTATTAGTAACTCTTCATTCCAGATTGTGTTTATGACCAGCAAGACATTGCTAAAATTGGGTTTGAAACATTGAATGCATTTTTTTTAGAAATTTGCAGAAGAAAGATGTAAGTTATTGTTGAGTCTCTAATCAGGTGATCAAACATTCCAAGCAACTGGATAGTACAGAAATTTAAAGATTATTAAAGGTTAGAGAAAAACACTAACTGAGGGTAAATGACACAAAATATCTGTAGAGGATGAAGATAATTACTATCAGCCAGAATAATCAGTATTTTAGAATTTTCATCAATGTGTTAGTATGTTAAAACTGGGTTTATCCCTTGGTTTAATTAACGTTAAAATATCCCCGAAAGATGTTACGTTAAAAGGAAATCTCTTAAAATATATTAGTTTCTTAGTTTTTTGTTACTTTTTGCTTTCTGTTCAAAACATACTCATTTATTTGGTGTATCCAGGGTGCTTATGGGCCATGATGCCTTTGTGTGGAGGTCAAAGAACAACTTGTAGGAGTCCCCCATTTGGGCCAGGGGATCAACTTGGGCCCTTAGATTTAACAAGGACCTTTACATGCTGAACCATCCCATCTACCCTACTTTACTTTCTTAAATGAATATTTACTCCTGTTTCCATGTGTCCTCTGAGAGGCTAAAACTATCTTCCTAAGACTTTGAGAAAATGTATTCTTAGTTGCTGGGGGGGGGAAACAGCCTGGTGAAAACAAATTCAAACTGAAACGATCATAAGGCTTTCCAAACCACCCTGGGTCTTAACTAAAGCTTCAGGTGTCTTGAAGGATGGCTTGTGAAATAGCCACTATGTGCTTGAATTCTCACTCTGTGGAGATTCTTACGTGCAGATTGTGATGATAGGACACTGCGTTCACTTAAGTGGGGACATAATGTATCATCAGCGGCCCAGACACTGTTTGAACTCTATAACGCATACACCACGAATAACTTGCATTTTGAATTCTATTCTCCAGAAGGTAGAGAATTTGCTATGCCTTTATAATGTTATGTATTTATTTGTTCTTGGGAAGACATGTGCTACTAAGAAAGCATTCTTAGTCTGAGTTCCAAATTTTAGGAGTGGAAGCAGCAGTGGCAAGGAATGTGCTTGCCAGCATTTCTGTTGATGTTTGCTTCATTGCATTTTAATAGACACTAATCCTGAAGCTGATAATGAAATATTCATTTATAAAGGATGAAATGTGAACTGTAGGGGATATGGATCAATTGGGTCAAGCTGGCAAAGACAGGTAACTGTAGTGGGGATTTTAATTTAGATGACATAGTTCTAGAAATGAGTATTTTTGCCCAACTCCATGAAAAGCCTGACCAACACAAATCAAAATCATTGTTGACAGCATTTTAAAATCTCATCTGTAGTAATTTTTAATGAACACAATTGAACTGAAAAAAAAAACCTTTGGTTGTAATGTATAGAGTTGAGATCACCTTCAGTTTAAAGTGTGGGTTATATACAATTATAGTTTTTCAGTCTAAATATCTTCATTGATCACTTTTAAGTGATTGAAAGCATAATCTCTGAAGGAAGCAAGTAGTGCTGTAACTGAAGAACTCTGCTGTGAATTTTAATGCTTGATGGCACTTTCCTTCTTGATGTACACCAGGATCCCTCCCATGACATTTATGGTGTCATTATGCTAGGTAATGGTATTATGATGGATGGAGTACTAGGCTGGGTACCTGAGAATCTGGAACTAGCCTTAAATATGTCAGAAATTATCTGTGTACATCTGTCAGCACTGACACCTTCCTACAGGCTTAATCTGATCAACTGAAAATGAATTGGAATGGAAAGCAAATAGGATAGAGAAGTAGGGTAAAGTTTACATCCTAGTCTATGATTTCTAAACTATGTGATGAAATTCTAGATTTTTTGATGAAGTGTTTTAAACGTACTTACCCAAGACAGTACATAGGCACTGTATCAGGACTACAGGATGTCTCTCATTTCAGCGTCAATCTGATAATGAAAAAGAATGTTCTATAACTTATCAAGCACTTGACTTGTAGGCTACTGGGTCATGCAGAAGGTGCACAGCATTTTGAAACCTTGTCAGGGGATAAGATTATAATGAAACTGCAAGTTTGAATTATAATTTTCATTAGCCATGCTTCCTATGTGTTTAGCTTTGTATAGCCCCTCACATAGTTTACAGTCTGATAAGAACAACAATTGAATTTAAGAAGTGCTAATTAGTGAACACACAGGACAGATAACAGGGGAGCTTGCTTTGTGCATGTGGAGTCCTAAAGGACTTTTCTTAACCTTGAAGCCCAATGAAGGAAATAGGAATTGAATTAGTCATTATCTGCACGCAATGGGGTGGGGGTGAGGGGACAGAGCAAGTTTAACAATGGGATGGTTTAAAGCAGTTTGGGAGAGTCTCATTGAGGCACAGAAATAGCCATAGACGGTCTAGGGACAGAAGAAACCAATGGTCAAAATCTCTTGATTTTTAAATTAAATAAAATCAGGCCTTTATATGAAGACAATGAAGAGCCACTTGGGTAACATATTAACCTTGCATCTTTAGAGAGGTTATTGTAACATCAACACAGACATGGGATTCAGTGTGAGGCAGTGGAATTAGACTGGATTTGGAATGTCTATTGTGAAGGTGTAATGAGGGGGCAGACTATAGGAAAACTAGAACAAGAAAGTTGAAAAATATGGGATGGGAACTGGGGAATATCTAGAAGGCAGAGTTGACAGGACTTAGGATTTGATTTGATATATTTAGAATAAGATGAGGAATTAAGTATCACTAAATTTTCATTTGGAGACAATGGGTAAATGATGCTGATATGAATTGTCAATTGGTGGAACACAGAAGGTTTTAGATGGGAGAATTTTGGTCTTGCTGAATATGAGTTTATTGTGGTAGAAGCAATGGTGCAGAGAGGCAAAGTATTGGCTAGAGGTAACTGTTTAGACACTGAAGAATACTCAGGAAAATGTAGCATGGGCTTGACGACCAAAGACATACTCTGCAAAATGGCAATTTAAGGAATGAGTAGAGGATGAAGAAAATATAAAATAGAACAAGACATGAAGATCATATACTAATAGCAGAAAATTATAACATGGATGCTATAGAAAGTCTATGAAGGGGCTGGAAAATCAGTGCAGGGAGTAAAGCAGTTGCTGCATAAGCAGAAAGACTTGAGTTTACATCCTGGAACCTGCGTGCAAAGTTGGTTACGGTGGTACACTTGAAATTCCAGCACTGGGTAGATGCAGACCAGAGGGATGTTGGAACTTGTTAGCCAGCTAGTGTAGCCTAATCAAAGTGCATATGCATCCACATGGACACAAGAGCACATATATGTACATACACACATGAACATACACACAATAAATACATCACTTCAATGAGGAAGGAATAGTTGTGGATACCACATGTTCCACAGAGGAGGCTGATGAGCACTGAAAGATGCTTGTCAAGGTTAGCAATAAGGACTATTGGCGTGACTGTCTTGGTAGTGCTACTGTCTATCTTTGGTGGTATCACACCACTACCAACACTGTCACAGCAACGTTCTGAAACAAGAGTTGAGTAATTCTGAGAAGGTACAGTGAGTCAGAGGATCTACCGTATGGCCAAGAAAATAATGAGAAAAGGGAGAAAGAAAACTCTGAAGAAGTGTTTAAAGTATCATATTTATTAGTTTAGATATAAGGAAAATCAACTTTTGTATAAATTGGAAGGATTTAGCAAAAAGGAAATAGGGACTGAGCCAAGGAAAAGAGTGAGATTGAGTGAATTCCACCATCCAGATGCAGCTCTAGCTATTAATATTTTAACAATAGTGAGTGCGGATTTTCAGTCAGTAACAGTTTTTGCCATCAAGGCTTGGCTTTTGTCATGACTAGCTAAATTGGAGCTGGAAGGTGATAAGAATAAACACATGGTTTCCAGGAGAGTACAGGACCTGTTTCATTTCATCTATCTCTTACATGCATTTAAATATACATAGTTATTTTAGATTATTCTATAAATGTTAACACAGGGAGCTATTGATTCTGTTTAACATATCATAAAAATCTTTACTGAGAAACATAACTGTCCTAGCATGGTCATACCACATAGAGTCTGCACTGGAAAAGAACAGGTGGAGAGCACACGTCACTGAAATTTGTCAGCTTAGCTCCTACTTGGCTATTTGCAGCTGTTTCTGTTTGGTAGATTTTAGTGAACATCTCCATCAGTATCAACAGTTTTCTGACTCTGTGAGGCAGATGTGTTTTGTTGAATTATTCTCACCAAGAAATAATCGTGGAGTGGGGACATCAAAGGTCTCAGAACTATCATACCTTCAATTATGGCAAAGTGTTGTTCTGATCTTTGGTCTCTTGTAAATAACTGAGATGACTATTGGAGAATAATAGGAGCAATGAGAAATGTAAACAAATGGAATCCCTGAATTCTGACCTTCTGGTGGAGTAGGGAAAGTACTAATTTATTGACTGAGATACCAGCATAATCATTCAATATCTTGGAAGTCAGTGATGCTCAGGTCTAACACCAGTGAGGCCACATAGGTAAACTGGGACCCCTTTTGCACATCTCAATCTTCTGGGAGAGGGGGAGCAAGAAGAAGAGCGGGGAAGAGGGAGAGGGGAAGGAGGAGAGAGAGAGACAGAGACAGAGAGAGACAGAGAGACAGAGAGGAAAAAGAAAGAACACAGCGTAGCCTCCCACTGTAGAATACAGGAGAAACCAAGGCACCTTTGTAGTAGTGAATAGGGAAGCACTCCATACACAGTCATCTCTTGTACGTTTAAATATAAGGATGCTGAAGCTGTGGTGATATGTTTCAAGAAAAGAGAGAGGAGAAAGGGACAGAGGAAGAATGAGAGTCAACTGATACTGTTTAAAAGAAAGGTTATAAAAATGATTCCCATTTTAACATTAAAAGTATTTCTTCATAAAATAATTCTCATGGTGAATAAACTGATGTGGCCATTTTCTTATTATACTAAAATTAAACGTAGCATTTTATTGCTAATATAAAAGATATGGGCTGATCCCATTTCTCTACAAGCATTTCTGTTTATCAGTCTGCCAGATAAACATGTGTATGTATTATTTACACACATTTGTACACACATGCATGAAATAAAATGCTACAAAGTAGCATGGGCTCCGTGTAAAGCAGACTCTCATACTTGCATTGTTATTGGCTTCTTTCACCGGGTTCTAAATTATAGATTGAGTGAAACCTGAGAACTCTTTCCCTTCCTTTCTTACTGAGACAACCAGCAAGGTCACCACCAACCACTCACTCCAGGAAAGCCTGCCAGGTGCACACAAGTCAGGACCATGCAGAAGGGGGAAGAAGTTCTGCTGCTGAGAAGCAGGGGTGAGGCTTTCCTACCTGTGAGCTGCAATAGAGGGGGGGTGAGTTTATGGAGCAGCACTTGGAGGCGAAGTCTGAGCGCTTGTCCACCATGTCCTCCAGTTCCCCTGGAGAGGCGTTGGGTGTTTTTGTCCTCAGTCGCTCCGCCAGTCTGAAAAAACGGTTATCTGTAAGGTTTCGCTGGAGGTATTGTAGGGTCATTAAGTAAGCAAGGTTCCACTGGAGGTATTGTAGGGTCATTATGTAAGCAAGATGACAGCTGTTTCATGTCATGTACAATGGAAATAGAAATACTTGCCTGTCTCAGGAAACCTTATTTGTGGAATGGATTTTTGATGGCCCATGTTGAAGGCGAGGGTGTAATGATTTCACTAGACCCAAGATAAATGTGTTTATTGGGGAACACTTACACAGAAAACTACAAAGGACCGCAGGAGCGCTTCTCTTCCCTTCCTATCCGATCGGCTGACTCAAGAGAGACCATCGGGCAACCAATTGAGACCACACCTTAGTTTCCCTCTTTCTGCTCTGTCCACTTGAAGCCATGCCCCAAAGGGTGTGGCCACCGTTACAGGCAAGACCGCTACACCATGTTGTGGTTAGAACTGAAATCTATACCTCGCTCAAAATCGGGCAAACAAACAGAAATTGCCACTGAATTTGGAAGCCAATTGTCACCCTTTTGGTAGCTCATTATTTCAACATAAGTGATTTTTCCCCCCTATTTTCCCTGGCGTTTCAACTTTCTTCAACGGTAAGTGTCAAGCAAGCTCCATTAAAATGCGTCCTTCACAGACCTTAGCTTCAGTCTTATGCTTCCTCTCTGTTGTTCCTCAGTTCGCCCACTTCGGAACTCGCTGTGCGAATGCATTGAAATGGGAGTGGGGTCCTTTGACCCTGGTTCTCAGGGGTTTAACCCCCTCATTTTGAAGATGATGATAGGACTTGATGCCTCTCGATCCTTTCCCGCTTACACTGTCTATGATCTTGGTGCCACTTCACCTTCATAGTGGCCCACTTGGCTTGGTTTATTACTTTCTCCATGAAATACACTCCCAGACCCGTAGTGAGCAATAAGGGACAAAGAGAAAAACACGCCCAAGCATAGGACTTTCACATGGTAGAGAGGTTTTCATGGAGGTCACTAAGGATTTTTCCTATTCTGGGGTTCTTTAAGAAAATCTTTCTGTCAATCCCAGTTCCCTCTAAAACAAGCTATTTAAAATAAAAAAATGTTAAAAAAAGACAAAAAAGAAAAGAAAATCTTTCTGTGAATCTGTGTGGTTGAGTCCTAGATTCCAACTGATTTAAAATGGAAATTTATTACATAAAGTGGAAAACAGCACAATCATCTTAGAGATTTCCCCCTAAGAACCCAACACCATGTCTTTCATTATCATGGTCAATTGTTTTATTGCTAATTTCTACTTACAGTGAAATTCTTCCTCTTCGATTTAATTGAGAAAATATCTGTTGTACCATGTTGTTGATAATTAGCATTTTTACTTTTGGTTTATAAGGATCACATGCTGGTGATAGTTGCCATTGGGCTAGCATGAAAGCTTGGTTCTTGTCAGAGAACAAACATTGATGGGTAACTCCAGGGGTACAAATACTGACCAACTATGTGCTCAAGTCTCCATTTTCAGTCAAGTCCCCACAGATGACTTATAATTTCTATTCCTGTGGCTGTGTTTTAATTGACCACTCACCTAGTGCCCATGACATAACCTGTACTCCAGAAAAGAGTTCTGATGATCTTTTAAAACTTTTAAAATTGCAACCCTTCTTTATCTTTCACTCAGTACATCCTAAATTTTCACTAGGACTGTTCAGTCGCAGAACTGGACAAGCAGGAGAGACACATTTGAAGGATGAAGTCATAAAACCAGCCACTTACTTTTTCTTGTACTCAGTAAATGTGTTCTCAGAATAATCTGCACACATTTCTTGCCCCCTTTCAATGAAAGAAGTTAGTTGCTTCTTCAATATGGGACTCTGTAAAAAACAGTATTTGCACATCAACATTGTTTGTATGGAAACAAGGAGGCCATTAGATGAGAAGTCCATGTCCCTGAACCAGGTATCAGCAAACATTCTTTTTTTTTTTTTGCATAAAGCCAGTTAGTAAATATTTTAGGCTTTTTAGGTCATATATTCCACCCTGCATGATAGTGGTCACAGACAATGAACAAACAACATGCATGCTGCACCAATGTAACTCAATGATCACTGTAATTTTAATTTTATTTAATTCCCACACAATGAAGTATCAATGTTCTTTTGACTTTTTTCCCTTGGTAAGAACAAAAGTACCATAGACAGTGTTTGCCTTGTTGGGCAAGCTTGCCAATCTTGATCCATAAGCTTCAGTCTGCAATTTTGGTTGGCACAGTTTAATGGGAGGTGTTCTTTTGTGTATGTATTTCTCTTATTGGTTGATGAATAAAACAGTGTTTGGCCAACAGAGGCAGAAAGATAGGTGGGACTAGGAGAGGAGGAGAGTTCTGGGAAATGTAGGCAGAAGAGGCTGCAAGGGACTCCATGAAGAGACTAGGAGGATAGGACACACCAGGCATTCTCTGGGATGATAAGGTTATGTACAAATACATAAATTAGTAGTTATGGGTTAATAAGAGAGAGCTAGCCAGTAAGAAGCCCTAGCTATCAACCAATAGTTTTATGATTAATATAGTGTTCATGTGTTTATTTGGGGCAAAGTGGCTGTGGGAAAAAATATACCAGCAACAACTGTTGATATAGAAACTTAGCAAAGTGTACCTGGGTGCTGAAACAGGCCATGGAGTCCTGTGCATCACAGCATTCACTAAGGGACTTCAGGGTGGTCTCCAGCACTTTGCTGAGGAATACTTCTGGCACCCGAGTCCTTCTGCTTAGTTCAAATGTATACCTGGTGTCAGGTAGAAAAGGAAAGAATGCTTTTCAAGATGTGTCTGGGGCTCAGAATCGGAAATGGGACCCATTTACTACTATTCTACCTATCTACAGAGGCAGAACAAACATCTTCCTGATTGTTGTTTCGTTTTATTTGAGATAGTTTTATTTTGCAGCCCAATTCATTCAGTAACTCACAGTGGAGTGGTTCCTTCATCCTAGGACCCTCCCACTTCACTTCCTGCCTCAATCTCCTAGTGCTGGGATTACAGGCATGTATGTACTAGCATGCCTGGCTTTTTGGGTTTTGTTAATTTATTTTAATTTTATTTGAAATATAATTACATCCTTCCCCCTTCCTTCCCATCTGTATAACCCTTCTCATGTCTCTCCTACTCTTTCACAAATTCATGGCATGTTTTTCCTGTAGTCAGTATTGTAATATTCATGTATTACATGTAAATGTGTATGTAATAAATACATATGTTTATAACATATGAATAGATATAACCTGCTGAGTCTTTTTAACTTAATTTAAAAATGATTTAATACAAACAGACTCTTTAAACTGAGTTTAGATTAGATGACATTTTCATAAAAACATTTTATTAATGCTTGGTTTAATAACTGTAATATACTATATATACAATAGAACATAATAATCATATGTTACTTTATGCTCATATGGACATGTTCTTCATGAGGGTATAATACATTTCTCCCCACAGCTATTTTAGCTGGGTACTTCAATGAAAGTTTTCTGTACAAAAATGTATACAAAGTTTTCCACTGAGTCTTAACTGACTGTTATCTATGAACTTATCAAATCAACTAATATTTATAAGAAAAATGTATACTAGTTTTAATTTTGTCTAAATTCCGTTTTCTTATATAAGCAACTGACATTCTATCCACTTTTCCTAGGTGTAAATCGTTTTATGCTAAAAGTGTGAAGATATTCATAATATATTTAACACGGTATATGTTTTGGCTCTCATTAGCTAGATGAGACAAGATCATGTTTCAGTATGTTTCAGTATTTCCATTTAATCTTATTAAGTGACAGTGAATATCAATACTGTTAAGGAAAGAACATTCTAAATTTTGTATTTTACTTGTTATCAAATGGTTATTCTCTGGAAGCTTGACAAACTTTTAGTGTGTGTGTGTGTGTGTGTGTGTGTTGGAATAGAATATGGTCAAACTGGAAAATAACATGATACCCATTTACGTTGCCATGATGTGTAATGTGTATTATGTATATGGAACATTTTACTGTGTATGACGTTTATGTTGATCTGAATTTCCAGATGTTTCTTACTGGTTGCCTCTGCACTAAGGAAGGCAATGCTGCCATTCTCAAGTCAGCTAAAAACAAATCTAAGTCAGAAGGGCCAATCCCCTTTTGCCAATGTACACTAATTGCAAGGGGCAGACTTAGGAACCACAGGCTCCTTCTTTCTTATACAAGTTTAAAGACTTGGAGTGCTTTAAAATCAGTAACAAATACTTAAATTCCATAGATGCCATATAAAGAGATTTGTGTTTGAAAACAGGGATGGCTTGCTTTCCTTCAGTCTGGTCCCTGTGGAGGCAGAAACACTCCACACACTGCTCTACTTACCGGTCCATGGCTTGGGTGGTACTCTGACCACACAGGTCTGTCTCTGTGGGCAACTTGATGACTGGCAATTGAAGTGGTTCAGCCGCTGGCATGAAGTAAGTGCACATAAAAATGTCCATGGGTGTTTTCTCTTGACAGCACTCTTCAAACTTAGAATTCTTTGTGGACAAGTTGTCACAGATTTTTAATGTGTGTTCAGGCAGCTACAAAGAGAATGGTGGATTTGAGCAGTTGGTGTTCTTATTGGTCTTACTAAAAATAAAACATAGGCTTTCAATCCCTGATATGTTATTTATAAATGTTTCTAAGAATGCTCTTAGAAAATAAATGGATATGATACTTGTGAAGGGAGTTTGTTAATATGTGAAAGTTTATCACATAAAGTCCAATTTCACCTCTGAGAGAGAGCACATGTATGATGTTTATGAAAACTCCATATCAAAACTGAATATTTTATTCTAATAAAAACAGACAGAATAGTTTATGCTTAAAATAATTAGGATAGAGAGAATATTTAGCTATAATGCTATAAACTATGCCATTGCTTAAAATACTGAAAAACCAACACAAATGCAATAATTGAAGATTAGTTAAAAATATGATGCACCTGGGGCAATGATGTAATACAAACAATTGATAATAAGTGTAGTCCTTCTGGACATCATTTGTCATTATAGCAAAGCATCTATACACATAAATGTGAGTTTGTAATGGAAAAAAACTACACAGCACAATGTGTCTGTGCTAAATATGTCAATAAGACCTTGGAGATTAATCTTCATCCAGTGCAATTACCTGTGTCTGTATCAACTTGAGATAAAATTATGCAAATTGAGGAAGTAAAAATGTTTGATATGCTTACCAAATTGTACAAAGTATAATAAAAACATTACCAGGCTTGGCTAGTGTCAGCACTAATAAGACTTTATACCATAGCTGAATTTTAAATTGTGTTCAATTTAAATATAATACTGGAGACTATAATTAAATTTAAATAACCATGTGTGGGTAATGGAAACTCTGCACAGTGCAGAACTTGGGTGTCCGGGAATCTTGTCACTGTATGCATGTAGATTTTGTCACTGGTTGGTGGTTTCAAATTGCTGACCCCCGTTACTGTTTCTTCATCTGTGAGTCGAGTTAAGAATGTATTTATATTTTGTAAATGCATGTGAGGATGCTAGAATATTGCATGAAAAGCAGCTGAGAAGACTTTGTGGCAGTCAGTCCACAGTCCACAGTACATCACAGTGATCACATGGACCACCTTACCTCTTTGGCCATGCAGTCCTCTGAGGTAGACTCACAACATCTGGACAGGATTTGAGTAAGATCTTCAGCTAGTGGCACAACATCCTCCAGGTTAGCAGTTGGCACTTTTTGGGCTAGTTTTATGAGATAGCTAGATAGTTAAAAATGAATTTGTTAGCTAGCTCATATTCTTAGTTTTCTAGTGTTCATTATAGACACACTACTGAGAGGAATACTGATGTAGTAGTCTTTGGCATCAACAGATGGAGCACACTGGTCTTGTGATCTGTGCTAAATAGTAAAGTTGCCATTCTCAAGATTAAACCATCTCCAGTGAAGGCTTTGAAATATTCAGCACTGTGACATAGCTTTTTTTTTTCAATCAGATCTTCACACGTTGGACTGAAAGCAGTCTATAAGGTCAACGTGGCATCTCACTATTTTTTTTTTTGGTTTTTCAAGGCAGGGTTTCTCTGTATTGTTTTGCAGGCTGTCCTGGAACTTGCTCTGTACACCAGGCTGGCCTCCAACTCACAGAGATCTGCCTGCCTCTGCCTCCCAAGTGCTGGGATTAAAGGCGTGCACCACCAATGCCCAGTTTTCACTCTCTTTTAAGATGTCTTATAAAATCACTTTTAATTCAGCACTTTTGTCACTGCATAATAGAATATTTTATGTATCCTGTATATTACTTCCTTAATAGATATAAGTTGTCAGTGTTTTCCCTAGTTGCCTCTTCCCTTGTTGATTATAACCTTTGGATGGAAGTTATAAAGTTTGATATAGTTATTTTTGGTTTTGCTTTTCTTCGGTTTGAGAATCACACCTAAGGAATCGTTGTCAAAGCCAATGCCTGGAAGATTTCCCCCTATTTTCATCTATGAGTTTTATAGTTATGGATATTATATTAATAGTTTAATAAGTTTTAACAGTGTAAGGTAAGGGTCCAGTTTTGTTATTTTGCATGTAGCTATCTAGTTTCTCAACTCTTAGAGAAATTGTCTTTGCTCTGCCGCAGACTCTTAGCACCTTTGATGAAATCATTTGACCAAATACACTAGTTTAGTTTTAGACCTCCTATTCTGCTGAGGGATCTATATATCTCTTTTCATGTCTGTATCACACTAACTTGATTATTGTTGCATGGTAGTTGTTTTAGGCCTCACTGTTGTATTTTTTTTTCAAAAGTGTTTTGTCTATCTGGGGTCCTTTGAGGTTCCCTTATGATAACATTAATTTCTGGATGGCGCTGAAATTTGGAGCTCAAATGTCTACTACATGGCAGCTGTTTGAACTCAGGTGATGGTGCTGGAAGGTGCTGGAAGCCTTGAGGGATGGGTCTTCTGGGAAGTCTTTGGGTCATTGGGAATCGACACCCAGGAACACAGCAGGACCTCTGCCACCTCTTCTTGCCATTTGCTGGTGAGTGGCTTGCACTACCATGTGCTTCCACCCAGTGCACCACCAGAGGCCAAAGCAATGGGGCCAACTTACTGTAGATGGAAACCTTAAAAGTCGTAAGAGAAAATAAACATATCTGTATGTGGGTTAATGAACTAAGATTTGTTACAGCAATGAAAAGCTGACTAACAGAGACTTTTTTTTAAAAAAATGCCATCATGACTTTAGGAGATTGGATTAGACAGTTGCTTTAAGTAGTACAACACTTTGTTTCATTTAGTTTTAATATTTACTAAATTACTTTTTTGAGATAGGGTCTCATGTAGACCAGACTGGCCTAGAACTCACTACACTATGTAGCCTAGGTTAGTCTTGACCTTATAACTAACCTCTTGCCTCAGCCTTCAAAGTGTTGGTATTGTTGTGTGTGTGTATCACCTCACTTGGCTAGAGTGGCATTTTAATAGTTTTAAGTCTTTAAACCACAAGCAGGGAGTGTCTTTCCATTTATGATATCACCTTTGATTTCTTTGATCAATGTATTATACTTTTCATTGAGCATGTTTTTCCAGTATAATTTTGATTCCCTGATATATTTTATGTTTATTTATTATAGTTGAGATATTCTCCATTCTAGAAACATCTCTAAATTTCCCTTATTAAAAACATGGCAGCAATATTTTGACTCTTAGTCTTTCTTCACATCACATGCTAATCCCTTAGAGTAAATTCCTAGATACTAATGTGAGTATAACCCAAGGTTAATTAAGCAATATATATGATACCTCTGTATTAAGACTCCATTCATGATACCTGCAAAATATGCTTTCTCAGTGTAAAAGAAGAATGAAGGCAAGACTAGAGAAAATGCCCCAGGGTGTTTGGTGTGGGTCTTTAGTGGCCTGTGTTCTACAGCATCCTTCACAGGCATATTCCACAGGGCTACAGAGTGCAGGGTGAAGGAGCAAACTTCTCACCATGAAAATGGTACAGAATCATTACCTGAGCCTTGATTTCTCCTTTCCGTATGCAGCGTATTGTGAACAGACTCTATTTGACATGGTGGTGAGAAGTGATAAGTGTTTAATCTGGAGTCTCTAGAACAAAATACAGAGAATTATATTAGACAATCAAAACCAATGGAATGCAGTGTGCATAAATAGCAGGAAGGGATGTTTTAGTTGCTTGGCATTTAAAAATCAATATAATGCTTAGCCCCAGCCTCTGTAGTTTATAGATATCTCCTTAATGGCAAGAATGTTTTTCAATTAACAAAATGCAATGAAGTTATTTTAGAAACCTTTGCGAATTACAAAATCCCAATTTTCCCATTATTTAACAGAAATGCCAGTTTAGGAAGGAAAAACAATGTATGTATAACTATGATATGTAAATGGAGCCTACCTCCTTCAAAAAGCATACAGTTGGGCTTGCAGAAGTACAGCAGGATCCAACCATAGAGAGATAACTCTTGGTGTAACCAACTAAAAGTGACAGAGGAGCTTGTCCGTAATTACTGGAGTATTCATATAGAAACCTAGGGAGAGAAATTTGGGATGGATTAAATGAATTGTAGGAAAACAAAACTGAACTTTTGTTAGTATTTTGATGAAGAAAGCATGCGTGTAATATTGGTTCATATCTGTCAGTCATCTATCTATATCTATTTATTATCCATCATCTGTCTATCTAATCTATCATCTATATATCTACAATCTATCATTAATCTATATTCTACCTATCATCTATCGTGTGTATGTATGTGTGTGTGTATGTGCAGTGTGTGTGCGTGTGTGTGCAGTGTGTGTGTGTGTGTGTGTGTGTGTGTGCATGTGTGTGCAGGCTAGAGGTTGGCCTCAGATGGCTTCCTCTATTGCTCTCTAGTTTTGGAAACAGGGTTTCTCACTATCAATTTGGTTAGACTGGCTGGGCAACAATCCCCAGGTATCTGTCTGCTTTTGCCCTATATCAGCATGATGTAGGTTCTTATGCTTGTAAGCAAGCATTTTACCCATGGAGTCATCTTCCCAGCCCATTAGATCACAAAATAACTATGAATTTAAAGAAATAACAATAACACTGGCAACTATAAAAATGTATTTATTTTGAAAAATGGGCTTTTTAGTTCCTATATTATCTGTTTCAAGTGAGAGGCCATCTGTTTATTTGTTTTTTAAATTTTATTTTATTTATGGTCTCACTAAGAGCATCACCAGTTAGTAAGCTACTTGTTGAATAGGGAATATAATTAGGGGATTTACTCTTTATATTCTATTTAATTTTACTATCCTAAAAAATTCCCATGTGTAGTGAACTTATGTGACAAGAGCAGTCATTTTGGATTTTAGAAGCACGAGTTCTTGGGGCTCTTAAGGACATTCTGAAGGATGAAGAAAAATGGGTATACCAACAAATATTTGTGGAATTATGAATAGTTTAAATTTTATTGTCCTTTATCTTTGCATAGATATTTTTCATTATCATGAATGTCTTCCCCCCATCTTTGTCCTTATTTCTTTTGTTTTTTGAGAGAAAGTTTCAGCACATAGCTTTGGCTGGCCTGAAACTTGTAGCAATAACCTTGCCTTTTTCTCCAGTGTAATCCCTAAGGCATTACAGGATTTTTTTTGATTATGCCCAGCTTCATTTCTGTACATTTTATAACTTTCCAAGATTAACATTTTCAGAGTGGAACCACTTTCTTATATAGATTAAAAACAATAAAAATGTTCACATTACATGTTCATTTGGTAATATGTGTCATGTTCACAGCTGTTTCTAAAGATATGTGGGGATGGAGAGCATTTATTTCTGTGCCTCATGGGAAAGCATTTAAAAATGTGCACAGTAGTAAAGTTGGTTCCACATCTGCATGATGCAAAGATCATTAGCATAAGGGGGATCACCACAGGCACTTGCAGATGTATGAAAACAAGTCGTAGGATAGTGTGTGGGAGTTTGGGAGAGTGTGTGTGTTCACTTCCATTAGAATTATTACTGTTTTCTGAATTTGTATATAAGATACTATATTTTCATTATCATGCATTGTCTTTCCCCATATTTTTACCTGCCTGCATGGTTTGCTCCCTGCCTGCCTCCTTCCTTCCTCTCTAGATCTCCTGCTTCCTTCCTTTCTATTTTTGAGAGAAACCCTTCCCATGGGGCCTGACTACTCTGGCCCTTGCTGTGATCGCCCTTCATTTGCCTTCCCAGCGGCAGATATCTGGATTGGTATAGAAGAGTGGTAGTTTGACTTATAAAGATCACTTACTGATCAGCAAACCCCTTTGGATCTTTCCTGAATGCCTCACAGATCTCATCATTTGTTGGTTCCACATAGGTGGGAAATTCTTGTGGCTGGTGCTTTAGAGCAGCCATGCAGAGTTTCCGCTCTAGGCCCTCTTGGGTGCAGCACTCAGGAGTTCCAGGGTGCACGGGAAAGGGGGCATCACTTGCACATGACTTGACAGACAGCTCTGAAGTCTGGAATGAAAGAAGGGGGCGGGTGAGAAAGCCTGTATAGTGTATGAGTCTACATTCAGTATAATATATAATGTGTAATTTAAAAATTCTAATAAGTAATCAAAGTAGCACGCTATGGCTTACAAACATGTAAAGTTGCATAATTTTGGTTATAGGCAAGTATAGAATCTTGTTTATGCTAACCAATGACACTTTTCAGAGTAGACCATGAAACAACTTTCATTAATAAATGGACCTTGCTTATGAGGCTGCAGTCGTTTGAACTTTATCACATAGCCTGGTGTTTCTCAGTGAAGGGTTTTTAGCATCTCTGAGGTGAGGAGCACTTGGAAAAGTTCTAGTAGTGACTCTCATCTCATCTCCTCCCACCTGCCTCTTACAGTTAGACCAAGAGCAAGGTGAATGTCCTCTGGCCTTTTCTCCTCCCGTTCCTAAATGAGTGACTTCTTGACAGGGTTGGCTTTAGCTTCCTGCATGTTGCAGTTGCCTGTCATCTCTGTAGTAGGATTTTATATCACAGTTACTCAATAAGAAAATAAGAAACAATTGCAGAGCAGCTCAAAGATGGGGACTGGAAGTATGTATTCCCATTTCAGGTCTTATCCTTGACAAGTGGTGGAAACCAGTGGTCACTGTCATTTACAGCCTCTGCCCTGCTCCTCTCATTCATGCTGAAGGGTAGAACACCACCAAAGAAACTGTAGAGGAAAATGGAAGTAATTTGATGTTTGTAATAAATTGATATAAAAGAATAGTTATAGAGAAAAAGAAGTAGAAATAACTTGGGAAAATCACTTTGGTGTTTATGTAAGAAAAGTAAATATATATGCATGTATGTTATCCTTTTAAGGTAGATTTTCTAAAGATCTTTCATAGCAGTAAAGGAAAGCAACATGCTGAATGAGTTGGTCAAATCAATTCATCATATCTCATGCATACCTTCCTTCCATTACTCTTAGAAGTTAAGAATTAGTCTGCCTTTGAAAATCATCTCTGTCTCTAGTCAATCTCCTTTTCCTTTTTTTATTAATCTCACTAGAAACTCCTCTGGGTTTTCCTGATTTCAGTTATCCCAAAATAAAAATAGAAGCTGAACAAGTATCAGTACATGACAAAATAATGTGTAAAGGCTTAGGATGAGTAGGGTAAAGATGTCACACAAAATCCATCCATGTTATCTCTCCTGAAAGCTCCAGTCATATCTCAGAAAGACACACAGCAGCAAATCCCTGGGGTGAGAGGACAATGAGATGAAAACCTACTGTGTTCATTTGAGTGTGGTTGATAGTGTGAAGCATATTCAGTCTGAGGTGGTGCAGAGTAAAGCTGAAATGATGAGTATTGATGAATTTGGTGGCAAAAGATGTGACATAAAACAGAGGAGACGGGGCAAATACAGCTATCAATGGGTAAGGATATTCGATGTATAGAATCTATTCTAATAATGGGATTGAGCAGACACTGATCTTTCTGTGGTGACCTTTAGCCAAATCCACCTATTGTCATTCGTACATGGGCCAAACCACGTTAGTAAAGTTTTGTCTACTTTTTTCCACCTTTATCAGTTACTGTCTATACTTTGAATTGCAAGTCTTTTTCCTTCAGGATTTCAATTTCTATGTAAGTGCTATAGAGGAGTAAAACACCACACACACACACACACACACACACACACACACACACACACACACACAGAGAGAGAGAGAGAGAGAGAGAGAGAGAGGAATGCATATGATACATGTTTTTTAAAATACTCAGAACCTAATAGGCATACAAATTGTGTGCCTAGTAATATTTGGGTGAGCCAAAAAGTTTGAGGTCAACATTATTTATTCTGTGGTCATTATTCCTAACCTTAACATAGTACTATAGTACTAAAGATGTAGGCAGGATTTTAAGCTATACAGTGTATATTTAAATTATTTTAAGAGGTTCAAGAGTTTGAGTTTATGAGGTTCAAATTTATAGTGATTTTAAAAATGATTTCTCAAGAGTCCAATCTGGATTTAAATCCTTCACACATTCTCATTAGCAGTATATATTTGGTAATTCACCAAGTTATTTTATCCCAATTATTTTTCTTTTGAAACTTGTAGCAACAATGAGTGAAAGGAACTGGGTAATGGAATAAATGTGGGAGCTAAAAATAATGTTCTTTATTTTTCCATACAACTAGGTGTAGGTGGCTTGGAATCTAGAGTGTCCTGGATAGGTGACATAAAGGCCTCTGGCACTTCCTTTCCCTGGGACATGGTAGAGATACACACTTACCCTGGTGTCATAGCAGTTGGGGTCAGCCCCCTCAGCACAACACTCTTCGGTTAAGGTGACAACTTCCTTCACCAGCTGGCTGACCTGCTCAAAAGTGCCACTGGGAAACTTCCTGCTGTATAGGATTAGTGATCTGAGGGAAAAGTGATTATGTTAATTGGACTTGAATTGGTTTGTTTGGCATTTTGACTCATGCCAAATAGAATATCTACTCAACTTTGAAAAGAAATATTTCATACATTAACTTTCTTATTTGACTAATGGTGAGAGTATGAGGTTATATGTCAGGCATTTGCTCTAGGAAAGTCATCTTGTATACAGTAAACCTGGATTTATAGTTGCCATCAAAGCAGCCTGGAGTCTATTTTGAGCTTACCCCAAAGAACATACAATACAAGTCATTGCTTATGTTTTCCAGGGTCCAAAAAAGTCTAATTCACTTCAGAAGCTCATTTGTTAAATTTACCAATGATAGTTTCTTTGACCACAGTCACTGTAGTTCAGCTGGCATCTCTGGCTGACCTCCACCTGCTTGGTCCACAGTGACTCAAGGCTCTTTCCTCATCTTTTAGACCAGGGCAACATTCTCTACAGTGTGAAAGTTGCCTTGTACCCAGTTTTGCTCTGGTCAAGTACCCAAGAAATGAATGGATACTGCAACTTACAAAGATCTGAAGTCGTCTTTCCCCAGCATGGCAAGTTCCTTGCAAACTTTATCCTTTTCATAGTCTCGGCCTAGAAAGCAAATGTAGAAAACAGGTGTCTTTTTCCTTTTAATGACATATATATATATATATATATATATATATCTTCCACATAATATGTGGTAAATGCATTTCTTAATATCTGTCCACAGTTCCATTTGGATGTATGTTTTCACACAATAAGCCTCAGTGTTGTAATTTTTTATTAATTTTTACAGTATAGCAAGGGGAAAAGGTAGAAAGGGTAAAGTAATGCTAGGGATGAATCACATGCTACACATCGGTTAGTGAGTTAGAATCACCTACTCGAAAACCACCCTCCTCAGTCTGTGCAAAATGCTGAAGGAACTGTTTCTTTTTTCTCTCCCTCCTTTTCCCTCTTCCTTCTTTCTCTCTCTTCCCTCCTCCTTTCTCCTTTTATCTCTCCTTCCCTTTTATTGTCTTATGGTTTCAACAAAACAAAGAGCAAAAGGAAACAGAAAAGCTTCTCCACTGCAAGGTTGAGTTTCCAGTTGTATTAGGTCTGAACTTGGAAGAGGCCAGTGGTTGAGAAAGCTGCTGCCTGACTTACCACCCAGACTCCGTAAGGACTTCAGCTAGGGAAATGGATAGTCTACAGAACAGTGTGGTCTAGCTCCTCACACTTCAGGTGCAGTGAAAGAAGATTCATAACCATTAGCCCTTGGAGGTTTTCCGTAGAGTTTGGGATGCAGTGGACTCCAGAAATCTAAATGCAGTGGGGCAGGTAAAGGAGCCTAGGGAACAAAGATGATCGCTGTGGGTAGGAACCAGTGACCCTCATATCTGAGACACACCAAATAAGAGAGCAAAGAGGCTTGGAGGCATCTTCTTCCTTGACCTCTAGAACAGCAGCAAGAATGACAAAACCATAGGGCTTTCTGGAGGGCAGTGGGCAGCCAACTGTGAGTCACCTCTGGGCAGAGTGAGATTATTTGAACAATCCATCCCAAGGGAAGTCATGACATGCCGGGAAGATGTGAAACGTTTCTAGTGATGATGAAACAGTGCTTAAAAAGAAAACAACGGCCAGGCATGGAGAGCACACCTTTAATCCCAGCACTCAGGGGACAGAGGAAAGAGTACCTCTGTGAGTTCCAGTCCAGTCGGCTATATAGTGAGATCCTGTCTCAAACAAAACTAAACAAAACAAACAAGTGTAAGTGAACACCTCTGCTCAGAACATGTTTACAGTCATGGTCTTCTTTCTTTGTGGCTGTCTTTCCTGTCAGTGGCTTCCTGCCTCATATCCAAGAGATACTACAAGTAGTTAGATAGTGGGGAAGGACAAAAGGGGATGGGAGAGAAAAGAAGTGGTCTTTCCCAGGTCTGACTGGGAAAGCAGCTTCGATATCCATGAACTTATGACCTAGGTTTATAGGCAATGGGACATCTCATGCTTTCAATGACATTGATGTTCAGGGTTCATTTGTGGAATGAAGAGAAAAATATGACAACTGGTCAAAAATGTACTCGAGTGATGGGAATAGTCAGATTCCTGAGGCATAATTTTTTTCTGTGTGTTTAAAAATGAATTTCCTACTGATTATAAGACCCTCTGCACATACACCCATGTCCTCTGGGTAGATATCTGAAAGTCCATCAGGGTTTTCCTTCTGTGACTCAAAATTTACAATAATATGGCCAGAAAATTTCTCAGCACTCTGGGCACTACTTTGAATAATTGCTAACAAGTATAGAAAGGCTTTGTCTCAGTTCTAAATAGCCTTAAGTGATGTATCCACTTGACTTAAAGTATTAGGGAAGCCATCTTAGAGGTTATCACAATAGTGCGTTTCATCTTTAAGGTGGCCTTGCTGCTCAAAGTTCTGCTTAGACTAGAGAGACTTGGGTGGAAATGGTTGTCTTGTGTTTGTTTGTTTGTGTTTTTTATTGAAACAACACTGATGATGGATGGATATAAATGTGGGAGTTTATTTGTGTGTTTAAAAAATTATTTTTAGTATTAATAGATTTTTGATGAAAATAATGTATGTTTTCCAGGTGGGCCACACAAAATAGATCAATGGAGTAAGAAAAGTCAGAGGTGAAAGATGTCAAAACCTTCCTCTTTAAGACAGGGTCTCTCTTCACAGCCCAGATGGGCTTCCACCTCACAGACTTTCCGCCTCTCACATCATTTTATAATGAGGGACAAAGTCATAAGCCATTAAAATTTCACGCAAGATAGACAAGAACTGATAGGTCTCTTTCTGTTTGGCTTGAATCCTGAAAATGAGTATGCAGCAGTGAAAAGGTAAGGTCAGTGGTCTGTGGGTTACAAACGGTCCTGGCAAACAACCTGTGCTCTGGCTGAAAATCTTCACATTCATCCCCTACTGAAACTTGTCGCCTACTTTGGAAGGTTGGACATTGTGACAGGTCAGAAAGGTTAAAGCAAGGCAGAAAATGTTAGTTAATCATTACTGGTAGTCAGTGGGACAGGAGACTGGAATGCAGAAGAATACAGTATACAATTGTCCTCAGATGGAGAAGAGCTATATTTTAGGACATCAACAGAGTTGTTTTATGTCATTCCTAAAACAAAATCAGGAAGAATGGCTGGTACTTGTGTGACTGTGTCATCTAATAAATCTATAAACTTTATCCTAATCATGACTCGTGAGTAACTAAAAGGGTAGCACTTTGAAAACAAATGAGATTTTTTTTAGTTACTGAAATTATTATGATGGGTTTGAATAATTATGAGGATTCAAGGTTACATATTTAATATAAGAATATTCTTGTGATCTTTATGATCCCTTCCTAGAGATAAGAAATTAGTCACATGTATTAGTTGTAAACTTTTCCCTTAAACTTCTAGTATTCAAAAATCACAAAATAGCACTGTTAAAAATGTTTTCCTTTAAATGCACACTTAGTAACTGTTTTTTAAATAAACTTCCTCTATCAAGTTAGTCTAATTTTGTTGATACTTATATTGTGACAATGCAGTAACATGCATAGTAAACTCTATATGAAAGTGTGGTACTATTGATGTGTATTTTGAGAAATATTTTGTTTCTAGCTTTCCAATTTCACAATTCTCATTTCACTAAACATGTTCAGTTTCATTTCACATGTTACAAGAATGCAGTATGCATGAGAAGGCACTGTAAATAAGCATTACATGTTATTAACCCATTCAGTAGTTTTGAGTAAATGAAAATATATTTGTTTACATACAAGTGTTTTGTATCTCATAGGAATTGTGTACTGCTTTAGTTAGGGAGAATACTGCTGAGAGAAAAGTGGGAAATTGGACTGTGTGAGAATTAACGTCATTTTGGAATTGTCTTTGCTGGAGCATTTAGCCTTGAGAGGGAGAGGACACAAATGAAGTCTCAATGGGTGGCACTAGAATAGCATTAAGGCACAAAGTATAATCTTAAAGATATAACCCACAGAGGGAGAGGCATTGCTATCATCTTTCAGATTTTGTAAAAATTAATTTATACAAGAGACAACATCTAGTGTGGATAGTTAGATATGTTAATCCTTTCCTTATTACACATACCCACAAAATCAGTAAATAAATGCTGAAATTGATTTGTAATATAATTATTGTAGATTGATTTCTCAGACCAGTAGAATACTTTTTGAAAAAATTAGATTGATTTATTTTCATTTGAATGGTTTTGTGTGTGTGTGTGTGTGTGTGTGTGTGTGTGTTACATGCATGTGGGTTGCAAGAAACTTCAAGGCTGTTACTTGTGTGTTCTCCCTTACAGCCAGAAATGGGTGCTAGTAATGGAGTTTGAGTCACCTTCAAGAGCAGTGTGAGCTCTTAACCTCTGAGTCATCTCTCCAACCTGAAAAGTATTGTTAGACTAATTAAACACATTTAATGTTAGTTAAATTTACACATCAAGAGAATTACAAATATCACATTTTTATCCTTTAATGTATTACTTAAAAAAGAGTTATTTGGACTTCAGTGTGGTGACAGAAATTACTGGCAGGAAGTTGGTAACTTTTGTGAAATCATGTTCACACAAAGTGACCTCTTTTTACTAAATGTTTACAAATTTCATTAACAGTTTTGACATCATGTCCAGTTTAATCAATATTGTGAAACATTCTGGTAAATCATATCAAATCCTGGACTTTTGAAAATGAGTTGCACTTATTCATTGGAAATCATATTGCTTCATGCACAGTATAAGCTCTTCCAACAAATAAGACTATACTCATTCTTTCATACATGCCACAGATGTGTTCCATGCCATGTACTCTCTGTCAGGCACAGAATTCACAATGAATGTGAGATACAATGGGATCAAAATAGATGCAACCTCACCCCATGGAGTGTTCATTCTGACAGCAAGAGCCAATGAAAGTTTCCCAATTTTGGTACAGTGTCAATAAAGAAAGACGCTTTGGGTTCTTTTGATATCATAAAGACCTTCACTAATTCCCGATTTTGTCCTTCTAGGAAAGCTATTTGCCACACACAAAGAATGAATCTTGAATAACAATGACTCGGGTTCATGTTTTACAGAATGCTGTAGGCTATCTCCTGGTGCAATTTTTTTCTATTTTTATGATGCCCAATTTTGTTAACCTTTAAATTTGTACAATCCTAACAAAGATAATTAACATCATGATAATAGCTAATGTACTACTACCAATGGTTTGAGTAGCACTGTAAATACTTGGTGCCTAGCATACCCTTTCATCTCTATAGAAATTTGGTAAAATGTGTAGTTTATCAGAACTCACCCCACTGTTAACTATACTACTCTGTGTGTGCCGCATGGATAGATCTTCATCACTTAAAAATATTTTTTAAAAAATTGATGTTGTCGTTGATGGTGGTGGTGGTGGTGGTGGTGGTGTGTGTGTGTGTGTGTGTGTGTGTGTGTGTGTGTGTACGTGCACATGTGTGAATGTGTTTGTGTTTGTGGGTGTCCATAGATGCTACTGAAAGAGAGTGTCAGATCTGCTGGAGCTAAAGATACAAGTGGCTGTGAGCTGCTTGATATAAGTTCTGGAAAATGAACTCTGTTCTTT